GGCTTCTTTTATTTTCCAGGCTTCTTTCCTTCTCCTCATCACTTTGTCCCATGAAGATACAAAGACCCTCCAAGCCGAGCAGAAACCCGTCGCACTGCTGTGTATTGGCTGCTCTCTCATTGCACCCGCTGTTCTGCTGCTGCTGAAAAGCATCTGGAAATCATGTTACAAATCATCAAAGCTGCCAAGAAAATCATCTGCAGCCCTGGTAAGACAAGACAATATTTACAAACTCTAACTTAAGTCTTATGGATCCCAAAGAAACAATTACTGATATATGGCAAATTTCCTTATTTCCTTGTTTCTGTGACATTTTGTTGAATTGAACTTTCTCTTTGTCCCTCAGGTTTTGTTCTTCGAGTTCCTTGTTTCTGTGGGGTTAGCAGTGCTTACCATTGTAGCAATGCCACACCTGGACATTGTGACCAATGTGGCCATCCTGAACGGTGTAGCTGTCCTCTCTGCATTCCTACAAGCAGTCACTCAGTGCACTGTCAAAAAGATGAACATCTTCCTGCTGCCTTCCATCATGGCCTCTGTGGTTATGGTTGTTGGTTACTGTTTGTTCGTGGTCCTGTACATTTTGAAAGACTCTGCCGATGTGAAGACAGCCATCTGGGTGGGTCTTGCTGTTGGTGGGTCAATCTTGGTATCTTTCAACTGGTGGGAGAATTACTTCAGGGTGATCTGTGTGAAGAGAAAATCCAACGTCCTCAAAAATCTGTTTGAAGACTTGAGCAAGTGTCAGAACATGCTGCACATCATGTCCAGCGTACTGAGGATTGTGGTCACTGCCTGTGTGCTTGGTGCCTATGTTCCTCTGGCCAAGCTGGACTGGGACATTGTGACCTCCATTCCAAGCAGGGAAACAAGGATAGTAGCCATCATCATCGGGGTCCAGCTGATCTCCTCTGCACTCTGCCATTGGTTTGCTTTGGCAGCCTGTAAGATGCATGCTGTCCGCCGATGCTTCATCCTGCCTTTGTACCTGGCTTCACTGGCTGTGATGGTGCTGTTCATCGTCCCTGTTATTCTGGATTATCAGGACCACCAGTTAAGCTTGAACACAACTGAAAAGATCAACTTCACAAGTTACTGCGCTGAAGCTGTGAATGTAAGAAATCAAAGTCTGAGTGGTAACCTGTTCCC